TAAATAAATAAATAAATAAATAAATAAATAAATACTCTTGCACTAGCGACTAGACATATATCAAAGAGCGAAAAATGGTCTTATGATCAGAAATGTATTCAATTAAAAATATATAAGAATGTCGTTATCTTGTAGATTACAGTAGTTTGTGGTGGCAACAAGAACTCTGACAGAACGAGCACGAAAAAAATCTTTTGTTATTTTAACTCGATCAAATCGTTGCATGTTATTTTAAATTGTAGACCTTAAAATATGTTTTAATAAATAAATAAAATGTTCACAGGGCATCAAAAGAAACATTCTGATTTTTGAATTAATATTTGAAAAGCGAGATAGCGATGATTTTACTGGGTTACGCTATGTTCACATACTTTGGTTCATAATTTATAGACTTTAAATCCAACATTCGTGTCGTTGCTATGGATACATCTACTCAATGTTATATCCAGTTCACGAAATTATTACGATCATCGAAACTGAACTGACCTAAATAACTTACTGTAAAGCGTATTGTTTATTCAACAATTCTAGTGAACATAATATAAATGTACAATGAACATGAGATTTTGTCATAATTCCAAGGGCGGTGGTCGTCGCGCCACGCCCGGATCGATACAGGACTCATAACGACGTACGCACGTAAAAGACATTGTTTGTTTACACGAAATCCTGAGACGCGCTGCGCGATGACCACCGCCCCTTAAAACAAAAATGTGTTTTAATAACTTTAATGATGTTTTTCATTTTTGAGTTGGGCATAGTCAAATGCTCATAATGAAAGTAACAATCTCATATAAACATTAGATTCAAACAGTAGCATCATAAATTCCTGCCACGTAGGTATTGCAAGTACACACCGAGAAAATACTATGATGATTGAACTTTAGGGGACATTTGTAAAAGCTTTGCACATTTAGTGTGTTTGTAAGACAAAAACAGTTGAGATAAAGAAAATATGCAAGGCAGAATTTGATGTATCGAAAAAAACTGGCAACAGACAAGCTGCTCTCTGATTGGTCTGACTGTTATACGCTTTGGTTTGGTAGCCAATCAGGCACATTCTTGTATGTAGCTTTGCATTGACTCCGAGAACGGACAGCGGCTGCAAGGACCCGCCGTATGATTACACTTTTTTTCTTTGTTCTCACAGCCTACCGGCCAACTTGAAAAATAACACCGACTCTCTTTATATAATACAACATTTTAAAAATACAAGCACATGGCAAGTGAATTGTTGCCACTACAAAAGTTGAATTGAAAGAAACCATTAAAGCGGGAGGGTCGTCACCGCGCACGCGCGGAAATTGAGTCCCAAGCGACAATAACAACACACGCTAAAACGCAAAGGCTCATGGGTAGACGCTTGTTTGTAAACAATGACAAGCTATGACGCATGCGCAGGTGACGACTCCCCCGCTTTAGAGCAAAGCAATTCATACATTTACAGTATTTGTTTTTGGAACTCGTTGAACGTTAAACTTTTATTCATTCATACATGGTAGAACTCGTTTTATTTTATCGTTCACCAAAGCGATTCACAGTGTCTGCACCGTGTCTGCAACTGTCTTAGATATAAAGAAACTCATGATAAAAACTAGTGTAAAAATGCATATTTTCACATTTTTTTCATGACATTTCGGACTCTTGTCCGGTGACCCCATTATTTTATTCAAATGAAGTGAATAGAAAGTAAGAGACATATACATGTAATATTAAATGCACCTGTTTAAATGACGACACATAATATAATTATCATTCAATAATACGCTAACGATGTTGGCAACTATAATAACATGCACATTTAGAAGATAAATTTGTGTAGAATATATTCTGCTGACTAGGAATATAACCCTGCAAACAACTGTAATGTATGCCTGTCATACGAACTGCACTTCGATAAAGAATATTTCTATTCGACATATTTCAAGTTGAGGATTGGCTCGGGCTAAACCGTAAAGTAAAATGCACACACAATATTATATACTGCATATTCCTTTAATGGAATAGTGAGTTATATAATCAGTTGATGGTACATACTAATAAATCAGAGCGCATGCGCATTTACGTAGTTTATTATTTAATTATTAAAAAAATATATTCTGCGCGTGTCAAAATAACGTTTAAAATGAATCTTAATATTCATATAAAACAACATGCTATATCGAACGAATAAGAATGTTAAAAAATATAGTCAAAGTTATCATAACGACATTTCATTGGAGCGGAATTTATGTGTTTTACCACCACCAGTGAAAGCAACCCGCATGTGTATTTTGCCGTGGCACACGAAGGAAATGCGTGTGACACATATCAAGGCAATTTGTGTGTGTTTTGCCGCGACCCATGAAAAAAATCAAGAAATCCACGCGTGTGTGTGTGTGTTTTACCGTGGCAAATGAAATAAATCCGCGCGTGTGTTTTATCTCACACAATAAAAGTCATAGATTTTGAAAGCCCAGATCAAACATTGACTGTAAAACTACTCGACATAGCTAGTTTGTACATGTACTGGCAGTGAAACTCGTTAACTCTTTACACGTTTATGACATGTCAGTAAAATGTCTGGTGGACTGTGGACTGCCAACTTTAACTGCCAATCCAATGTTTATCTGTATAGCAACATGCTTTATTTTAATGTGCACAATAAAACTCACCCTCATTTGAAAAAAAGGTATTAAAATTAACATCTAATTGACATTCACTTTTACTGCCTTTTCTTTGTTTAGACAATATCCCCTCTATTCTCCATATGTGGAAATTATATTCTAATGAATGCAATATCGGTAAATATGCAAATTACTACAATGTCAGCTAATATGCAAATTACTACACTGTCAGCTAATATGCAAATTACTACACTGTCAGCTAATATGCAAATTACTACACTGTCAGCTTATATGCAAATTACTACAATATCAGCTAATATGCAAATTACTACTATTTCTTCTAATATGCAAAATAACTACAATATCAGCTAATATGCAAACTACTACAAGCTTTTCTAATATGCAAACTACTACAGCGTCAGCTAATATGCAAATTACTACAGCGTCAGCTAATATGCAAATTACTACAACGTCAACTAATATGCAAATTACTACAATATCAGCTAATATGTAAATTACTACTACGTCAGCTAATATGCAAATTACTACAAAGTTAACTAATATGCAAATTACTACAATGTCAACTAATATGCAAATTACTACAATGTCAACTATTATGCAAATCACTACAATGTCAACTAATATGCAAATTACTACAATGTCAACTAATATGCAAATTACTACAGTGTCAACTAATATGCAAATTACTACAACGTCAACTAATATGAAAATTACTACAATGTCAGCTAATATGCAAATCACTACTATCTCTTCTAATATGCAAATTACTACAACGTCAACTAAAATGCAATTACTACAACGTCAACTAATATGCAAATTACTACTATGTCAGCTAATATGCAAATTACTACAATGTCAACTAATATACAAATTACTACAAGCTCAACTAATATGCAAATTACTACAATGTCAACTAATATTCAAATTACTATAATGTCAACTAATATGCAAATTACTACAACGTCAACTAATATGCAACTTAATACAATTTCACCTAATATGCAAACGCGACGACTGTCACGGTGCAGCTTCAAAGTAACTTAGAACAAAATGAGATTTCCCTTTACTTGATTTGAAAAGTTACCCCGCGTAATTCGTGCATAATAATGAAGTGAGCCAATGACGTACAGCCTGGTACCAAATATGGGTGTTTGGTTAGTTTCTACAGCTACATATAATACATCGATTCGCTGCCTTTGAAAACTACGGTGACCCAAATAGACAAAAATGAAATGTTCTATCAAGTCACCCCCAACATCATTCAACAATTTCGCTTTGAGCACGATTAAAATAAAAGAATCCTGTTTTCTAGCCAATAATAGGACCAGATGTTGTTTTCGTTTATTATAATGCAATAATTTATTATTATTATTATTATTATTATTATTATTATTATTATTATTATTATTATTATTATTATTATTATTATTATTATTATTATTATTATTATTGTTGTTGTTGTTGTTGTTGTTGTTGTTGTTGTTGTTGACAAAATATTTAATAATATACCCACCATGATACTGCTGCGAGTGGAGTCGAAGTCATCGATACCAACCATTACATTAAAGAAAGGTTTAACATTGTATTCTTTTAATATAGTTGACAATACATGTACATCGATATCGCCAAGGGAGTTCCAGCCCCCCATTGAACTTAACATGTCTATAACCGGCTGTACTCCGAGGGAGTCTCTCGCATCAATGTCCATGCATTCTGCGTACATTTGAAGGCTCTTTCGCTCGGCTTCGCTCGGGACTGTTTCGGGTGAGGATTCCATGATTGATTTCAGAAGATTAGAGTTACTTTCCTGTATAAAATCGAGAACTCCGTACCTGGACTTATCAGCAGGGATTGGATTATTGCGTAGCCAGTTTCCACATGAGTATTGGTAAAAATCGACGCACGGATCGACGCTTTCGTCCATGTATTCCAACATACGCCCGCCAGTTTTGACACATTGCTTAGTGAGACAAATGTTTTTATCAGTTCCTTCTTTTATTCTACTCTTGGCGTTAATAATCATGTTGTCGGCTGCAATGGTAGGACATGGCGGTGCAGCTGTCGTCTCTGGGACGTTGTTTAGAAAATAGTTACAAAAAGCACCAGCAAGAAGCCCGGAACTTAGAACTATGACCATTAGCACAGTAAGGCACGCCGTGCATCCGTGCTTAGGCTGTTGCTCTCTTTCGACGTACATAATCCCTGCATTTTCGTCCGAGATTACGCGGATTTCATCAGGGTTATCCTTTATCGGATCACCGGACTCTGGATCGACTTTCCTGATATTCAGGAGCTGGGCGTCCTTCTCAAAGCCGTCGTTTTGCATGGCTGTATCCAGTGAAGGTACGTCAGCGAGACTGCAATGGCTTTCTCAGGTTCACGTCTTGAAAATTACAGGTGTACTGACACACCTATGTGTAACCCTTGCATATCAAGGCTTGTCGAGTACCTGCAGTTGCCATGATTGATGGCTATATGTACACAAGCCTACACATAAGCTTTGAACGGTCTTAAATAACACCGTACTATCATGTTGATGACATCATGGCCTAGAAAGTGGCGCAACCGCATAGTAGCCCATCGGGTTACTCCAATGCGAGTCGTATCGTGTGCGCAGTCACCCAGTACACTAGTTTAGTGGTTTACAGAAACGCGTTTACTTTATATTCTGTAACGTGCTACCAATTTAAATGTATGCGTGGCGGGGAGCAGGTTGACTGGCGTGACAGCGTAACTAATTTGGTCAAGGCCGTACTTTATTAAATATCATTGCGTATTGGTATCACGTTACTCACCAGAGAAACCACGTACAGCGAATTCATGTTGTCCCATACCACAATTAATCTTCGATAACCAACAATGTATATACGTGAAAATATAGCTATTTTACACATATAAACAATAGTCAAATAACCACAATTTTACAAAATTAAAGGGCGGTGGTCGTCGCGTCCTGTTCGATATGAGACTCTTTAAAAAAAGTGTGATTTTTGTCTAGTTTTTAAAATCAACCAATCAAACATCATCGTCGTCGTTGCAGCATTACAAAAATAAGCCCACTGAACTACATTGGTATTGCCAATATTAGAAAAGTTTTCCCAACTGGCTGCCCCTTCTAAATGTCGCATCAAATCAGTCCGCCATTGCAAAACTAGCTGGTTTTTGCCAGCATTCCAATCACAAACACAAAACTTGCCTATACTAATATTATATGAAATAAAAAGAAAGTTAGAAATACAAGCTTTACATTCCATGCAAGACGCTGTTTTCAAAATAAAGAATTGCCTACGTGGCCCTTAGCCCCTTGGCACAAATTTTAATTGTCATGAGAAACCTGTTAACACGGCGAACGAATCAATGTCATACTGACCCGAGACATGCTCTAAGATAAACATCACATTCACTACAATGGCATTTTTCATTATACCACCAACTGATATTCCATATTTATTACGCTCGAAATAGAAGAAGACCACTGGCAGATCAAATACGTATATCAAACTTGGCGGGGTGCTTATAATGTAAACATGCATTTGTTTCACCGCATTAAACCGTCGAAGTTGTTAACTCATACCAAACTATCATGCTAACTAGGCAACCATATTTATATAATAATTAATTAATTAATTAATTAATTAATTTACTTCTCGTAACTCTAGTATATAAATCGATGCTGTACGAAATTTGGAATATTACTGGCTGCCTCGTAATACTAAATCACTTTTTATTCAGCATGCGTTTGAACAACATACTGCGCGCCTCTCACTTAGTGTCTGACTATTTTACATCCGAGACAACGTGCTCACAAAATCGGTAGAAATATGACACTGCGTATCACTTCGGGTCAGAACTTTCACGATGTTAAATTCCAGTGTAGGTGTCGGCAGAGGGCGCTACACACTTCACTTTGTTAAACTGGTGGAACCATTAAAAATAAAACGTTATTTGTATTAGTTAAACACCAATTTACAATAAAATCATATCTCTCACAAAATATAATCGATTGATCATTGCTTTAAAGGCAATTGCATGCCTTTCGTCCACATTCATTTGGGTAGGTTACCAGGCAATGGGGAAGAATCTTTCCAAAACGCCTCACAACTTGAAGTCATGAATTCGTGACAACCGGATCCAAATCTCTTCAAAAATTTGAACGATTTGGCGTTGTCTCGACGTTAACCCCTGGGAATAATAAACTGATTTTCTATAAATCTCATCGTCTACAATGTTTCCTGTAAATCATATTCAAATAAATATTTTTAATATTCAAAAATTTGAGTGATAGATTTTATGTAAATAGAAGTTTCCAACGATTAATTAACTTTATGGCTATGGGGATGTAGCTCAGTGGTAGAGCGCTCGCTTCGCATGTGAGAGGCCTCGGGTTCAATCCCCGACATCTCCATTTCCTGTCTTACTTCCGTGATATGTGACAAAAACTTATTAATTAGCATTATTTTATCCAAAAAACGTGAAACTGTGTGATGGAAAAGTCGTTTATTATTATTGATAAGAATCCTACTGTTGTTAAAACGTTTAAAATACATTGTAATTAAGTCTGGCATTTATCTCCCACAGTGCATTGCGCAATAACATCTCAGAAGTGCAAAATTTCATTAGGTTCTTTTTCGTAAAGACAGGGCACAGTGCGTGAGTTCAGCAGTAAGCATTGTCCAAGTCAAGGTGCCTATTCCGATAGAAATTATAGCGCCATCCTACGGTTGTAACTATTTATTTTTTTACGGAGAAAAACACGTTAGACAGAGAGGGAGCTATTCATCACATGACTTTATCCCATCATTCTTGTCGCAAGAAGAAGATACAATGGCCGCCATGTTAGGTAAGTGAGGCGTTGTCGAGCGCACTGATTCTTGATTATTTTATTTTATTACCTTTTACGGGATCCCGTCTTCACGTAATTTGTAATTCGTAGAATGTAAATAACGGTCACCGATACTATTGCACGGTTATTTTTAAAAGCGGTTGATTTTTTACGTTTTAGACCTATTTCCGGCCGGTGGCAGGCGTGGTACTCGACGTTGAATGGGGGCACCAGTGGGGACGCTCTTTGACCGGGTCTTTGGACCCCCCTCGGGAGATTGTCTGCCGTTATGCTTGTTGTTTCATAATTGATTGGATATTAATTAACGAGCCCGGATTATGAAATGATTTTTTTAAAAGTATTTTGCTTTCTTTATACCCCACAATTGTAGTCCAAAAGTGGGTGGAACCTACTTAAATATCTTAAGTGAACTAGTACTAC